GACCCCTACGGTGCAGTTTTCGTTGGAACCCAACGAGTTTCCATCAAGAGCCACATCGACCTCAGCGCCACAGGGTAGAAAAGCGGCAGCATCCTTCAACTTCGCCAGTGGGCCTGACAGCAAGTGCCGGATCAGGATGCCTAAGTTTTTTGTCGTTTCGTTGCAGGTTAGTAAATTCAAATACTTTGAATTCAAAAGCAACTTTTTGTGTTTGTTTGTGCTGCCAGGCCCCAAGGCATGCTTTACGTTGTATCTTGAATTTCTAGAGCTGTTTAGCGTTGTTGATGCATATGTCCAAAGTGAGGGATTTGGGTTGTTTCTACTACTTGGTGGGGATATTGAAACCAACCCTGGACCCATGACCAAAGCGCAAGAGGAGTTACTCAACAAAGTTTATGAAATAGTTGTGACGCTTCAGACCGGGCAACATCCTCCAGGAAGTAAAAGACCTAAAGGCTAAGCAACATTCCACCGAGAAATCGCTGAGTAATCTCGCTGCACGCGTCGACCAGTTAGAGAGTGATATTTCTACGGTAAAATCAGTCAGCGTTAACAGCGACGTGGGCCCTTCCCCACAGATAGCCGCGGCTGCTAACGAGATATCGGAGCTCAGGGCACGCTGCGATGACGCGGAGAGCAGAGCGCGCAGATCAAATCTTCTTTTTTTTGGCTTCCCCGATAAGGATAAGGAAACATGGGCGCAGTCGGAAAAGACTGTTGTAGACGAGTGCCTCGACAAGTTAGGAGTTGTTCTTGCACCGTCGTGTATCGAAAGGGCGCATCGTCTCGGTATGTTTTCTCAGCAAAAGTGTCGCCCAATAATTGTAAAAATGTTTTCATACAAAGATAAAGAGTCCGTACTTTCTAAGGCCTACAAATTCAAAGGAACATCATTTTCCGTGAGTGAGGATTTCATACCATCAGTGCGACTTGCGCGGCGAAAGCTAGTAGAATTTGCAAGACCACAAGATATACCTTTCAAGCTGCGCTTCGACAAACTGCTGATTGGAAATAAGTGCTATATCTATGTACCTCAAACAGACTGTGTCAGTGAAGTGAACTCATACGGGCCAGAACAGAATTTACCTAGACGTAACGCCGAAATTACTAACCGTGCTTCCGCTCAGCCAGAGCGTGACATCGTAAATCCTAATCAAGCTTCAACTTCGTCATAACGTTCAAGGAGGCGTGAGGCTGCTACTACCAATACTTTGCCTAATAATAATATTTCTGTTCTTTTTACGAACATTAGAAGCATTATGAATAAACGGGACGATCTGTCATCAGTTGTGGACTCTTCTAACGCGGATGTTGTCGTGTTAAGCGAGACATGGTTGTCCAGTAAGATACGCAACTGTGAAATTTTGCACTGTCAGAGACGTTTCAACTTCTATCGTCACGACAGGGAAGAAAGAAAGGGTGGCGGGGTGTTGGTCGCGGTAGCAGAAAATGTACCATCGTTTTCTATCAATATTGTTTCTGAACTCGAGCTGCTATGGGTTGGTTTCCAGTTAAAAAATAAAAAATACATTTTAGGCGTGTGTTATCGCCCTCCTTCTAGCAATACTGCGTTTATAACGAATCTGCACGATGCGATCAACTCAGTCATTGTTCGTTTCCCGAATGCACCGATACTACTGTTGGGTGATTTCAACTACCCATCTATAATATGGTCAGACGAGGGTGCCAACCTTAGTCACTTCTCTTCTGAATGTAGTGAGTTTTTGAATCTTTGTTTAGATTTTAATTTCTCTCAGACTGTTACAAAACCGACGCGTACGACTACAACAACTGCTGCTGTGCTTGATCTCATATTAACAACATCGCCTGAGCTGATCTCCTCGTTAACTTACATGCCTGGTCTCAGTGATCATTCCCTACTACACTTTTTTTTTAAACATTCCTGGACGCAATCAGACGAAAACATTTTTGGACTATGCTAGGGCTGATTTTAATTCAATCAACAACACACTTTGCCATTTTCTAGAGGACTACATGGGTTGTTTTGCTGAGCGCTCAGTTGATGATAACTGGTGTTTATTTAAAGAGAAAGTTATGTCACTCATGAACGCCCATGTTCCCCTTCGCGTGGTATCTTCTTCACCAGAATCTCCATGGTACAGCGTGACATTAAAAAAGCTGTCAAATAAAAAGAAACGATTATTTCGCACTGCAAAGCTATCGGACCATGTACAACGCTGGGAGGCTTACCATGTTGCAGCTAACGTATATAAGAAAGCAGTCGAAGAGGCAAAATTATATTACTTTAACAATACGCTGCCGTCAATGTTGCTTAACAATCCGCGTCAATTCTGGAAAGTTATTAACCCTCCTTCTAGTTCTGGCATAGTGCTTAGGGACACCCATGGAGAGGAGGTGCCAAGTGAAGTGTGTTCTTTTTTGTTAAATGATGTGTTTGTTGGATCTTTTTCATGCACGGTAACCTCAGATTGTCCTGTATTTAGAACTTATGATTTTTTGCCCATGTTTCCTGTTATTGTAAACTGTGAAGGTGTATCTAATATTATTGAAAACCTTAAAACCAATACCACCGCAGGCATTGATAATATTAATGCTAAGTTTTTGAGAAACACTAATACGTACTCATGCGTTATCTTATCTAAATTATTTTCGCAATCACTCGAACAAAGAGAATTGCCAAAAGATTGGAAGGTGGGGAAGGTGATCCCTCTCCACAAAGGTGGCGATAAGCATAACCCTTTAAACTTTCGTCCCATTTCTTTAACGAGCATTCCTTGTAAAATCCTTGAGCACATAATTTACACTAACATTTTAAATTTTCTAGATTCAAATTCGTTTTTTAACTCAGCGCAACATGGATTTCGAAGGTTTTATTCATGTGAAACTCAACTCCTAACCTTTACTCATGACCTTCACGTAACACTTGACCGGGGTTCCAGGACTGACTGCATATTTCTTGATTTCTCAAAAGCTTTCAACAAGGTTCCTCACGCGCTGCTTCTTTATAAACTCCGTAAACTTAACATAGATCTAAATATAATCGCTTGGATAGAATCGTTTCTATCAGTCCGTTACCAATTTGTTCACGCTAACGGAACTAATTCTTCAACTTCACCTGTCAAGTCCGGTGTCCCACAAGGTTCCGTATTAGGTCCACTTCTATTTCTTATATATATTAACGATCTTCCCACGCATGTATCTTCTTCTATTAGCCTATTCGCTGATGACTGTGTAATTTATAAGGAAATCATTAACGACTCTGACATATCTGCTCTTCAGACCGATATTAACAACGTCACCCGCTGGTGCGATAATTGGCTTATGGAACTTAACACCTTTAAATGTAAATCTATGAGAGTGTCCCGTCAAAATAACACTTGTCCCTCCTACTGTATTAATAACTCCACCTTGCTTTCTGTGTCTACCTATATATCTCGGTGTTCATATAACCAACGATCTCTCCTGGAACATCCATGTCGACTATATCACTAACAACGCTAATCGCTTATTAGGCTATCTCAGAAGAAACTTTTCCCTTGCCCCTGTTTCACTTAAACTTCTCCTATATAAAACTTTAGTGCGCACCAAACTTGAGTATGCAGGCTCTATCTGGAACCCTGGCGTATCCCTAGCATCATCCATTGAATCCATTCAAAATCGCTCCGCACGTTTTATACTTTCTAACTATCATCGTACAGCCAGCGTCACCTCTATGAAAGCGTCTCTGCATTTGCCCAATCTCTCCTTTCGTAGAAAAATAGCTCGCCTCTGCTTATTTCACAAAATTTATCACTCTAACCCAGCACTTCGAGCCTCATTAATTTCAGAACCATCATACATATCGCCGCGCACCGATCATCCCCTAAAAGTAGGAATCCCCTACTGCATCACTTCCACCTTTTATGCCTCCTTCCTACCTCTGACCTCCGTCGACTGGAACCGCCTTCCCGCATCCGTAGTCTCACTTACTGACGCTGCTGATTTTAAAACCGCCATAACTGATGTTCTTAACAATGTTCCATAGCGATTCTGTACCTTGTGTTTTGTTTGTTTTTTGCGTTTTGTTTTTATTGTTCACCTTATATTGATGTATATATTTCCACTCCTCTCTGTAATGCCTTCGGGCCCTGAGAGTATAATAAATGAAATGAAATGAAATATATCTACTAGACATTGGTAAATTCTCACATATATCGTCCAGATGACCACCTCAGCCAAGATATTTCAGCCGAAGTTAATCTATACTGCTGGATGTGCGTCCTTGTCACTTTGCGATGGGACCCTTGCCGTGGTTCAGGTTGCCTCGGGTCATTGCCGAGAATAGGTTGGTACAGAGGTTCCTCCCGGTGCCAGTTCGGGCCACTGCCAAGAATGGATACATACAGGAAGTTTCTTGTCGCCTTTCGGGTTGTTGCCGAGAGTCATTGATGCTTCTCCGGGTCATAGCCAAGTCTACCCGTCCTATTGGTCATCGCTGAATCTCCTGTTCTCGTACTTTTCGCTTCTTCACAAGCATATCACACTTCTTTTTTGTCTCTTTCCCTGACGCGGAACGTGACAGGGCGCTTACCCATTATTCAGAATGATCCAAGTTAATCTATCCTGCAGACAACACTATAAGGAGCCCATATTGGTCATGTTTTTTTTGTTTTCCCAACAGATTCAAAATGTTTTCAGAGTAGCTCAGAACTGGCAATGATGCAACTGTTCCTTCAAGCTGTCAATCAGTATGTGGCAGCTGACAGGCGTTCTTTAAGCTAAAACTTTTAGACTGCAGTGTAATTCCATAATATTTTTTTCATTATAGGTGACTGCTAAATGTTACGGGCACAATACCAACAATCAAAGTAATTTGTGGACTAACCATGTACGGGGATTTCCTCGCGGTGACAGTGAGCAGCAGAGCGATATGGGAGCCCCTGCAGTAGCTTGCCCAGGACGTCTCCCTCCAGACTTGTGTCACTCGCTGTCTTGATCTAGAATTTCGAATAAGCAAGCACATTAGCCCTGGATTGGGTTTACTGCCAGGCAAGCACTGTCCAGTTTAGTTGGTGTTGCGTGACCTTGGCCCTATAAATGGAGTTTTTCTATCAACAGTAAATGTCACTGGCCACACACACACACAAGAAAAACAGTTCGTGACATATGAAGGAAAACACAGAATTGCCAAACTCAGCAATCAGACTCACTATTGGCCTGCGATATGCACCACAAGCCACTCGTGCTATTTCCAATCGCAGCATCCATGGCAGGCACTTATCACGGCGGCCGTTGAAGTGGCACGTCTTGCCAGATTCTGAGGCGAGCACCATGTTGCAGAATAGCGGAAGAACAGACGTGCCTGTAAGCAGTCGGAGAGGCATGCGCTATATGGTAGTCGAAACCAGGCGAGCCATCGGCAGATGGCGCAGAGATACGCCTCAATTGCGGCTCGCATGTACTGGGCATTTGTGCCTACATTACTTCCTTGCTGCCTCTTAGAACTACCATCCACTGTAGTATGCTGTATTCTTGCACATACATACCTTCTTTACGCAGGGAAGCTCAATGATTGGCCTGGGCGCATACTTGTCCTTCACACCCTGTTTTTGACTTTTCCCCCACTGCTGTGGCAGGTCGGTCGACGACAAGATTTCAAACACCTTTGTGGCATGGATGTACAGGAGCATGGCCACAATGTGTTTGCATTTGTAGCTCCTAAAAATGAAAACAGTGCTACTGTGAAGTAAACCCTTTACAATGAATTTCTGAGATATACAAAATCGCCAAAAGCACTCTTTTCGAAGCAATGAGATGACATCCTGCTTCCATGTTTACCGTGTTTACATACAAGCCTTAAAATGGTATGGTATAAATTATGGCAGTGGCAGAAGTTAGTGGAAGGTATGGCTCCGACGCACTGATGTCTGCACCACCTTCTCCTGGCATCATGGGTTAATGTAAACCTTTCCCGCACGTGTTTGTCAATCTTCTGGCTTGTCCGTCCGTTCCGTTCCCCCCCCTCACAAAAAAGAAAAAGGGTCGTAGAAGCTGGCATTAGTCACACTATTCACAGTGGCACCCATGAGGAACAATAAGCCGAGCATACTTGCCCTTTCTAGCTTAATTTGTATGATCAACATAACATTAGACTGGTTTCCTCCAATATGTTTGTAATTCGCTTGCATCGAAGTATCGTTTTCATTTTAGCAAGCTCCACTGAAGGTTCATGCAATGGGGAAGTTGTTGCAGTCCAAGCAATTGACTTTTGCTAGCTTTCAGAATGAAATACTCGCACGCTCTGCCTCAGCGGAGGAACCCCCTCTCGAAATATTACCCCTCCGGGACGAGCATGCGAGGTGTGTTAGCGTACATTCTACATTGAAAGGGTCAGGAAAGGGAACCTCCGAAAGCAGGGAAGATCAATTAAGAGTTCACAACATGCGTACCCTGCTTTGCACGAGCATGATGCAGCTGCCACTGTCTTCTCTTTCACCACGATCTCGACCTCGTGCGGGTCTCTGCTTAAAGCCGATGTTTGCAGCACGAAACCTACAAACGTGCTGTTACTGTCAACTTTTTCTTTAACACTGCACGTCACAACGTGCCCAGCTTCCAGTACGGCTTCTCCCTCGAGCAGAAGTCGAGATGTGGCAAACTCCTGTGCCACGTACTCGTTGATACTGGAGAGGGGAAGCGTCACTGCAAAGGAACAATAATAATTCAGACTTGGTTCACGCAGTTCCGTACGAATGCTTGGAAACAACTCCAGAGCCGTGCTAATTCCTTACCTTGGACGGAAGCGTCGGTATCGGCGAGCTCCATACCACCACAACGACAACGCGCGCGTGCACAGTTGTCCCCTCACGCCCTGCTGAATGCGAACTTAACGCTGCTAGATTAAAATTAGATTAAACTAATCAGGACCAACAGACAAAGAATCGCCACACGCTAAATCCAGAACAAAAGAAAGTTAGCAAGCACTACCAGCGCAACCGCGCATCCGCGTTGGACTGCGCGCGCGCTACCAAGTTCTAGGCTTGCTCTCGAACATCTTAAAGCTGGTATCTATCAAGAGAGCTTGGGAGGGGCTGCCGTTCAGTCCCACAAAAGCTCATGACACGTCATAAAATTTTAAAAATAATTATCAATCGTCCCTGCTGTAAACTAACAGAAATGTCTCATACGATTACATATCGCGTCGTCCGCTAGCGTCCTACTGACTAGGTTACAGAAAGCATCCGCGAGGCGGCGCCACCCAAAGATCTCGTCGCCAATACATGAAGGGTGTCGAGAAAGAAGACTGGAAGCGGGCTGTTTAACAAGTACTGAGCTAATGCCAGAAAAGAATGAAGAGGACAAAGTCAGTTGAGAGGGCAGTGAAGGAAGCTGAAAGAGATACGAGAGAGTTGAGATGGGAAACGAAGCCTACTATGCAGAAAAATTTGGATTAAGAGAACATAACTTTTTTGACAATTCAAAAATAAGTTTGCTTTCTGCTTGGCAAAGACGGGTACTGAGAGCCGGGACTTATAGATCAAGATCTGAGGAGACAGATATGAATTGTAAACTATGCGGACAGGCGAAGGTAACGGCGAAGCATTGTAGGTAAGATAAGTCTTTTACATACCCAGACTGAGTCCAACTTTTTCGTTGCTTTGCAATTGGAGGGGTTGAAGAAGGAATAAGTGGTTTCCAAAAGATTAAGCAAACTAAGATTGCTGGAGAAATGGTGAAAACGGCTTAGAAAGGTGTCAAAAAAAAAGAAATAAAACAAGAACAAAATTTAGTTATGATTTAGGTAGAATGGCTCAAGGGTTTGCTCGCATCGAAGTCCTCTGCCCTAGTTTATCCATCCACCCAGGATAAAAAAAAAATTGTTAAGCCGAGATTCTTTACATTTAAATTTGACAATGCTGTCTTGCTGGTTTCCTATAGCCCGTCTCTCTTTTCCAGCTGGTTTCTTTTGAAACAGGAGAAAACTGGGTGGCACTGGTCAACTGGTAATGGTAACCGTTACCCAGGAAGCCACTGCCGTTATGGGCTGATGACCATTACGATGAAGGCACAGCTTGCCGCCTCTGTGTTGGGCATTATTAGCATTCATGGTGCTCAAAGTGTTGCAAGTGTGCTGTCTTATCATGAGTGGCACTTGAGTGCATTGCCGTGTGGACACAACAATGAGGTAGAAGGGCTTGGAGCATCTTAAAGTTTATTTTTGCCCACTGGCACCAAGTGTGTGACATAACAAGGTTTCTCCTTTCTTAAGTTTATTTCTGAGTGAAGCTGGAGTGTGTTCTTCTGGGTTTATTTTTCACCTGAAATCCAGGGGTTTCTGGAGATTTAATTCATTGTCTACAAAATTCAGTTTCCCTTTTAATGTTCAACATACTTCGGGTAGTTGCTCCGGATTTCGTGAAGCCATGTCCCGCAATAGGAATATCATATTACATATCTATGTATTTCTTTCTGCAGTAAGGCATAGTGTATTGGATTCTTTTGAAGAATTTAGTTTATTATCCTTCTCTTTCTGCACATGTCGTGTATTTGCCTTCAGATCTATCTTATGATCGCAAAGTCTTTTATGGCCTACTGTGCAGCCAGGGTTTCGCACTGCCAAACAGCGAACGAAAAATCATGTTTCCGCATACTCAGCAGCTGGCGTACTTTCGAGTATCGTCCTCCCGTGTCAGTCTCAAATTGTTATGTGAACTTCATAAGTAAACTTATTGAAGACAATAAAAAATGTATAGGGTGACCTAAGTCACCAGGCTTAGTCTAAAATAGACCGTAACAATCGACGCCTGCACGTAGCAATCTAATCTTTTCGTCAAAGGCGTATTTCACACGTCGGTTTGTTCTTGTAAAATTAGAAAGCGTAGCTCCCTTTCTGTAAAAAATAGGGCCAAGAAACTTGCCTGAGTCAACGGTGGGCGGCGACGCAGACGACGAAGTCGAGTTGCGAGGCGCATTTGGCGCGCATATTCATAGATGGCGTCGCGAGCAGCGTCGGTAGGTGCAACCGACCAGCAAAAGAAAGCAGACGACAGACGAAATCCATTGGCAGCAAAAGCGCCGTGGTTATGCAGACATATTTTTTCTTTAAGTTTGGCTTTTCTTGTTTGCATTTTTTTTAGGCAAAGGCACATTACAAAAAGATTGTATTCATTTTAATAAACCACGGTGGATGCGAGTTGTCTTGATAAGAAGGTAGCGCCATCTATCAATACGCACGTGATACGCGCCCGCAACTCGACTTTGTCGTCTGCGTCGTCGCCCGCCGTTGACCCAGGCAAATTTCTTGGCCCTGTTTTCTGCAGAAAGGGAGCTACGCTTTCTAAGTTTGCAAAAAAAAAACGACCTGTGAAATACACCTTTGACGAAAAGTTTAGATTGCTACCTGCAGGCGTCGATTTGTACAGTCCATTTTAGACTGAGCCTGGTGACTTGGGTCATCCCATATTTAATTACTGACTGAAGATTTGACAACTGAAATAAAGGGCCGATAAACCTTAAAGATATAGATCCTAAGTAAATCAACACCCAAATTATAAAAATAAATTAAGCAGTTCCTATTCATTGTCACTAAACACAGACGACTCTTTTGACTTCTGAGTCTTGCAGAATAGGGGCCAATGCTCTCATCACAAGTACCTAGTTTTTCCCTTTCGATCGCGAGAAAGCGGATATCCCCGTCATCGCCGCTGCCGGTTTCGTGGCTACTGCAACGGGGTGATTATTTTCGGCTGATGCAGGCGCTTTGGAGAGAGTGGGTGCTTGACGTATGCTTTGCAGAATTCCCAAGTTTGAGAGATTTTAATACTGGGTGCTTCTGCGTTATTTTACGGTATGCTCGATAAGCATCAGAAATGATACAATTATTAGAAATATCTGTTAACAGTTTGAGGAATTGCCATAGTGCACTACGTGACGAATAGCCCTGCTACCAGTTGACGTGGGACGAATTGTCATTCGACAAACGGTCCTACAGCCATTCCTGACACATGTGTAACTTCTCAAATATATATAGAAGTATGCTGTTGCTTCTTTTATGTGATGAGCAGCAATTTTATTACATTAAGATGGCACTTTAGGCCAGTTGATTCATGATCGAAGGTCGGCGCCGAAAAACAGGGACAGGAAGACACGTAAATATTGGCGCCAGTGTTTACGTCTCTTTTTGTCCTTGTTTTTTCGGCGCCTATCTTCGATCAATTTCATGTATGTTTGTGTGAGGGCTGGACAAAAACAAAGCACACAGGGGCATGTGGCAGAACTATGACAATTACGCACACATACCATGAAAATGTGACTAATTAAGTAGCTGCCGTGTCCAATAGAGCATTAAATACTGCTTTGTTCTATTGGACAGAAAATCACCAACTAGCAAGGGCAGTGTTATTTTGCAAATTGAATTGACCAGCGTCTTGTCAGGCACAAACCTAAACAGGCGGGCTATGTTGTTTATCTTTTATAAGATAATGTTCGCTTAGACACGCGCTATTTTAGGCCAGATTCGATCTGAGTACGAAGGTGTGTACAGATTATAGTGAACAATTTGGAGCACTCCTTTCTGCATAATTCTTTGCCTGCGTTGCATTGCTGTGTATAATTAACGTCGTTTAGGAAAGCGAGAGTTGTGATTTGCCGCTCAATGTTTCTTAAAAGGTAGACTGAAATGGCTCGTCCTAGAACTTTCCTGACATTTTGAAAATATTATTGCTTTTATCTTAGTTGTGTCATCATAAATATTGTTCAACTTATTTCGTAAACTATATTACGCTATATAACAACGAGGTGGCCTTTTCGTGATTTTATGCACTGTAATTGATTGCTTAGTTCAAGAGCACAACTACTATCCATCTTTTAACACTGCTACACATGGTTGTACCAATCGCGTGTATTTTTGTAAACCTACCACACTTTGTGACACCCTTTCGATTCAGGTAAAATAGATGTGACTGAGGTAAATAAATGGATGTTGAGTCATATAAACGCAGCATTTTAATTGTTAATCCAGATTTTTTTTTACTGTGGGGTAAAAATTAGTAACATGATTTCTTATTTTTGATACCTGAAATTAAAAATAGATTTTATGAACGATAAAAAGAAAACTATACTGACAGGTACTTGTGTCACAATGAAAATTTAGGCTTTTGCCAAAAAATGTGGAAAATATATTCTCAATAGACCCTTTACAAAAGTCAGTCAAGCAACTATGAGATACCGAAACCGCCGCCATTACTGCGTCGTCGTTTCGGGTGCGAGCGAGCGAGAGTTTGGTAGATGCTTGTGGCAGTACTCCCGGTACCTTGGACTACGGTCCTCAGGGACGAGTGATTTTGCCCTCCCCGTGGAGCAGTGACCTTACTACAGTTCCGCGTAGCTTTGACGAAACTAAGATAGAGGCGTACCGCGCCTCGACACTCGCTTCGAGCCGGCAGGTTGCCCGAAGCAACAAGTTCCTCACCGAGGCCTATGTTGATCCGGCGTCGGTTCAAGTGTTGAGGTAAGCACTGTTCTTTCTTGTCGCCCGTTCAGACCTAAGCGTGAGCCAACCCAAAGCTACACGCGCGCGCATCACGCCGTGAATGTGTTTTACGTGCAGGCGGACTTGTGCCGTCTGCCGCTGCGCCGTGCACAAGGAAACGCCAAAAGAGGCCTAATATACTCGCGCATCTTCGGCCTCTTTTGCAATATGAAATAAATTTGGTATTTTCTGGCTCGTTGCTTTCTGACAGCTTGAGATAAGTTTGCGAAGCTCAGTGGCGTTCGGACTAAAGAGTACGAGGCGGGGGGTGAGAGGTAAACAGAATCGCTCTTGCGTCGTGCCGGTGAACTTCGCCTCTGTACGCCGTGCCTCATAGCTTTTTTTTTTTTTTTTTTTTTTTTTAGCAAAGGCGCCAGTTTTTATCGTATTGCTTTCTGTGCTGCCAAGTTTCAAGTTGACGATTTGACGTGTGTGGTGCCCGCGAGCGTGCACTATGTGCACTATCAGCACGAGCATGCTAGCTCAAAAGTTACGACAACCAGTCCTAACTTTCGGTGTAGTAAAAGCTTCCGGCGTTTATTAAACGAGCAATCGCATATATGTCGCGTCTTTTCTCACACATAGTGAGCACTGCTAAATTTATGCCTCTTACTTATTTGAAAAACAATGTGGGTGAACACATAGTATGTTTGCT